GCTGGGGCCCCATTCACTCCAGCCCCTGCTCCTGCCTATGCCCCGCTCCCTTCCTCACTGCTGGGGCCTTGATCTGCCCCACCCTGTCCCCCCCCCCCCCCACAGACCTTTCCCTTCCCCCACAGACTTACCTGCTGGGGAGGGGGAATGCCCCCAAATATTTTTTTTCTCCCTCTGCCTCAATTCTACCCCCCCACCCAGACTGACCTGCGGGGGTGGGGGAAGAAAGGTGCAAGGAGGGGAGTGGCAGTGGCGCAGGGTAGATCTTGGGTTGCTTTTTAATTAAAAAAGTGATCTCCTACCCAAAAAGGTTGAAGACCACTGCTATACATTCTTAGTGCTTCTAGCCCAAGTTGCTAGACTAGCATGCTGCAGAAACAGCTATTATGTTCTGCTTTTAACAATAAGGCGCTAAGCATTAATCCTCTCCCTGATTCAGAATAAGAACTTCTTGCATCAGAGATGTATCCTTCACTGTTTTTGCAGCATGGCTGGTCCCTAGTGCGTAACGACTAGGCCAGCGTGCTGCCGCTTTCATATTAGGTTCTGGCTTTACATTCACCTTTAGGATATTATTCCAGGGTTCACTGTTTCCCTACAACTCTTGATAAGAGAACAGGGAACTGCATTCCCTGTGTTCACTTCAGTTATTACTTCTGTAGCTGGGAGAATGCAAATTTCCTGAGCTCAAGCATTGCCGTGTAAGTAATCAAGATAGGAACCAAATGTCATATACTGTGATGCATGTGTTAATTTTAGGTACATTTAGGCATGTGCTTTTAGAGATGAATCTGGGCCCCTTGGCTGCAGAGGTTGCATGAGAGCTTCCAGACGCTTCATCAGTGGTTGGGCTCAATCAGCATCCAATAGGCAGCTTTAAAGCTGCAGTGCATCCTTTTCATCCCCCTGTACAGATTTTCCCACTGCTGTACGCAGCTACTCAGAATTTGGTCCATAATGGTTTTCCTTTTTCAAGAATTCTATTTTATTGATATTTTTAAAAACACTTTAATTATATTGATGATAAGATAAGTTGACAGAAAGTAAATGACTGGAGGGTAAGGAGGAGACTAGAGTCTGAGATACCTGAGTTTTTATTCTGACTCTCTTTAAAGGATCCTTATGTGACCTTGAGCAAGTCATTTAGGGGCGTTTATACACGTGCTGTGGGAGTGGGGGGGAGCACTTTAATTAGAGTGGCTCCATGAACCACTCTAATTAAAGCACCCAAAGCGTCTTGTGTATCAGTGTTCCCGCGCTGAAAAATGGCGGCAGGGGCAGTTTAACTAAAGCTCAAACAAGCTTTAGTTAAAGCACCCCGACTGCCATTTTCCAGCATGGGGACACTGATACACAAGACCACACACCAGCAGACTTGATTAATTGAGTCTGCTCTGATGTGCTATAATTACACCACATCAGAACAGCCTTGTTGCATGTGTATAGGTGCCCTAAGTGCTCAGCGCATGGCTTTTTTATCTGAACAATAGGAATAGTCAAATCGGTGACCTTCATAATGTAGTTAATATTCATACCTCACTCTGAAAGTAGAGTACTACTGGCTGTTGCTACATGTTACTATGTAATAGTAACAACTGTATGCAACAAAAATTTCTTATGTAGATTTGCACATGTTCTTCCAGGTGCATCCATTTCTTTAATGGACAAAGAAGGACTGACTGCCCTCAGCTGGGCCTGTTTAAAAGGCCATCTCTCTGTGGTGCGTTCCCTGGTGGAAAATGGAGCTGCCACAGACCATGCTGACAAAAATGGACGCACTCCCCTGGACCTGGCAGCTTTTTATGGTGATGCAGAGGTGGTAAGTGTCCCTTTGAATAAATAACAGGGCAAAAAGGAAATCAGCTTAAAAACCATAACATAGTTGTAGGCAAATGTACAACTCACAGCACGCTGGCTATGTTCACATGGACTAAGTACAGACAGTTAAAAAGTTGGATGCTGAATCAATTCAATCTTCACAGGTTAATCTAAGCTGTGAATTGATAAGCAAGTGAACAAGCATTCACTTTTGATTCTGGAAATGTAGCGACATGACTCAAGTGCACCAGGTCAGAAGCCAGGAGGTGTTAAAGTACACCTTCCTGCTCAGCTGCAATAGACAGCTTGGGCCAAGGATAGCCCACCCCCCTTGCAAGCGTTGGGGGGGGGGGAGCAGGAGGATTAGCAAGGGAGGTGCAAAGCATTCTGGGATGCTTGAGGACTGTGAGTTAACTTGAATCTGAAGGGGATCTGGGACAGTACTCCAATAACCCAGTTTAACCTAAATCTGTTAAGTCTGATGCTACATACATCCAGGCTTATCTTAAACCAGTTTTGGCCACTTTGAAAGTGGTTTGTGTGCACTGAATTTCTGTTGTGTTACAGATTTGAATCAGTTTCTGATCACTTATACCAGTTTATGTGTAACTTCTGTGCCTAGCCATGAGATGCTACCCTCCAGACATTCACCTGCCCTGGTTAGTCTTGTGTAAGATGACTGACTGAATTTTTTTACCATAGGTTCAATTTCTGGTGGACCATGGTGCCATGATTGAGCATGTTGACTACAGTGGGATGCGCCCACTTGACAGGGCAGTGGGCTGCCGCAACACATCTGTTGTTGTCACTCTTCTGAAGAAAGGAGCAAAGATAGGTAGGAAGAAGGGGGAGATCCTCTTTCCGCTGTTTACTGTAACAGGACTTTTGAGCAGTTGGTCTGGTCTTGTAGACTATGTAAATGTAGCTTTGATATAAACCTTAACCCAGCCTGCTGCTGCAATTCAGAATGCAGCACAGTGACTCAAAACTGTCATGTTCTGTTTATTAAACTGTGATTTTTTGCTGCCATACTATTTAGCAAAGTTAATAAAGCAACTGTTTCTTTGGCAAGGTCTCTCCTATGGTAATGCTTTTCTATCTTTACTAGTCTGGTTTTACAAGTGTACTGTGTTCATACATTGCTGTGAGCTGCTGCTTTCACTTGCTCTGTATATGCTTTCAGATCCTAGCGTGACCTGCGCTGCTCTGCACAGCTGCTCACGTTATGTTTTCCTGTGAAAGGGGATTTTGCTGGTGCATTGGCTTCTTTGCTGCCTGCCTCTCACAGCTGCTTTTTTCCTTTCTTTTTTTTTTTTTCACCTTCATCCATTTTTTTCCCCTCTCTCCTACAACTTTTTGTTTTCTCCTTTCTTTGAAGGTTGTCAGACGTTACCGAGTCGCCCACGAGGTATATTTCACTGCTGTCAGCATCAGGCTTGATCTGATGGCTTTGTCAGCTTTGCTTTCTCCTGTTTGATTTTTGCCTGCATGCATTCCCTTACACCCCTAATCTTTTAATTTACCTCACCTTAAAATAATTTTTAACACCTGTTGCAGAGAATAACTTGAACTCAAAAAAAACCCTAACCCTGAAAAATGCACTGGATCCACTTTTAAAGTATCACTGACTCATTCTTCACCCAGACTAATGAACTCTTCTGAAATTTGTGTTACTCCCACCCACCTGTATTAGGCCTTGAGCCATCACTTGCCTCCATTTGGGTGGATTCCTGCGCTTATTGAAGTCAGTGAGGACTGCACTGGTACAGGGCACTGGCTGTCTGGAGTCATTGAGGGACCAGGGCATTAGAATGGACTGTGTCAGCATAGACTGTACCTAAAAAGATATTGCCTTTTTGTTGTTCTATCACCAAGTTTATTAAATTTTCTGCTGTTTTTAGCATTTAATCTCTCGAAGTTTTAAATCAGACGCTAGTCAGAATATTTAAGTAGCTGTTAAATTTCTATACATTTTAAGTCAGAAATGCTTTTTTCTGTGTAACTGCTTTGATTTCCTCTTTAAACATTTTTAAACAGAATCCTTTTCCCCAAAGCTGATTCTACAACCTGCACTGCCCTCTTGTGGAAATGACTCTGAAAATTCAAAGACTTGGTTGTTTTTAAATGAGTACAAAGGAAAGACATTGTATTGAGGATGGTGTTAATTTAAGAAATGCAAGATGAATAGCCAGCTCTTTAATCTGGAGCATTCTGCTCCTTGAACACACCAAGTTGTTCTCTCCAGCAGAAATTCCCACCCCAGGATATTTTTTCCACCTAGCTTCCTACCACCCTTGCATTGTATGAGTTTTTTACCCATCATGCATCCTGTACACTACAGGTCCAGCAACATGGGCGATGGCCACCTCCAAACCAGACATCATGATCATCCTGTTAAGCAAGCTGATGGAGGAGGGGGACATGTTTTATAAGGTGAGGAGAAGGGGTAATTTCAGAATTACTCTGTGTGGTACTGTTTTTTCCCCCACTGGTGTTACGCAAAAGTAATCCCTCAATCCAAGACAAAAAGTTACACTTTGACCACAAGGAATATTTGCAGGATATCTTCCATTGCAAAACAGTTTGCCTTTTGGTTTTTAAAGATTAAACAAAGCTGAAACAAAGTAAAAATATGTCTGCATTCCTGGATTTGAGCTGAGGGTAGATCAATGTCTTGAACCCCAGCAAATTAGATATTCAGCACTAATATCATTGCATTAGTTCATGGGAGGGCCGTTGTTACATAACAACGTAATTGCTGTGCAAGAAAGAGAAAAGGTGGTAGACGATCCATGTAGTGAATTCAGAATCTTAGGGCATGGCTTTATGTCATGACAGCAGCACAAGAGATGGCATTTCACCATTGCAACTATGTGCTTATTTTTACCTGATCTTTAATACCTGAACATTTGCACAAAAAAATTGCAAGTACTATCATGATTCACTGTTCATCTCCAAGTGAGGCAAAAAAAAAATATGCAGAGCTGGTACTGTACATGTAGTCATCTTCCAGGGATACATGATATAGCTGAGAAACTTGAGTCTAAAGGTATTGAAAGTTGCATAATTAAGGTCTGGATAGTTGTGAATTGTATATGTCCCGATTTCCCCCTCTCCCTCTTTTTTCCCCTTTCCATTTGCTGCCCATGTGTCAGACTTCTGCATTTTTGTTTGAAATAGTTAAGCTACAATAACATGACAAGGTTTATCCTTGCTCTCAGAGGGCCTTGTTACACCTTATATTGTAAGATGAACAAGTGTTAATTGTCTTAGTGTTGTTTGGCTTAGTAGAGCAGTCACACCTTAAGGTGATAAGCCTGCTCCTATTGTCCTTCAGCTGCACAGTGGCTCTGGAGAGGCCCAATTCTTTTTTTCTTGGGAGCTGTCTGCCTCCCCCCCACACCAGCACTGGCAAGGGCAGCAAGCTGGTCTAGGTGGCAGTGGGAAGCCCTGCTGCTGCCAGGGGCTGAAACACTCACTTTGCCCAATGTGCCCAGGGGTCACAGGCAACTGGTGGGGGGGGGGGGCAAAAGCCCCACCTGACAGGGCCATCCCTGCCACCGCCATCTGCGGGTGCCTGCCAGCTCCGTCCCCGCCACCGCCATCTGCAGATGCCTGCCCGAGACTTAGGAGGCACCAGTCAGCCATGCCAAGGGGCAAGGCACCAGTGGTCCCCACATGGCCCAACTCGGGAAGGGCCACTGCATTCTGGGAAGCTGAAGGACTTCCACTTTGGTGAAATAGCTGCGGGATGTGGCCACACCTTAATAGAACAGGAGCAAAATTAGGCAAATCAAACATAATCCTGCCCTGGAGTGGTGTAGCTTTAAAATGAATAATGAGTGCTTTAAGACACTTAAAAGCTGTTAACTTGCAGCCATTCTAGGGGTTAAGAGCTCCAGATGTTTGATTTCTTCTGGAACAAAGCCTTTTATTTTACTGTATTTCTACAGACCTACAAACCTGTTGTTCTACTTTAGTACCTATGAAGTATCCAAGATAACACTTTTTCATGGGATGATCATAGCTCATTTCAGTTCATTGTCATTCAAGCTGTGTATGTAAGTGGCTGTTCCACCCTGTTTGTATGAAAGTCAAAGACCAGAACAATCAGATCCTCTCCTTTGCACCCATGTCTAAACGCTGGGGTTCCACTAGAGCTCCCTGCCTCAAATTTGTCACCTCAAGCAAACTGTTTAGCCAGTAGCCTTCAAGCTATGGTGTCCTCATCACCCTTTAGTCACCACTGGTATGCTGGTATAAAGCTTAAACAAAAACATAAGCCCACTGGCTATAACTAAAATACCCCCACACTGGGCCCTACTCCCTGCAACCTGTAAGCATCTTACCTGCAGTCTCCAGGGCAGCTCAGGTGCCAAGCAGTTCCTCCCTTGTAGCCATCTGGCTCAGGAGCCTCTCTTTCTGCTGCTTGCAGGGCCAGACTGTTCTGGCTCAGGCCCTTGGTTTATGTCTCTCAAGCCCTGTCCCCATTCAGTCAGGTGATTTGCTAGCCCTGGCACAGCTGCCTCTCTTCCACTCTAATGGGCAGCTTACTGTTGCTACCCTAGCTGCCATAGCAGTGTCTTTGTTGTTTCAGCAGGGCTTTGCCCTATTGTCCTTTTGCTGGGTAAGGAACCCAAGCAATAGGTCCTCTCAGCCTATGAGTCTCTGGCTCCCTATTCTCTGACAGCCAGTCCTTCAGGAGCAGTATTCCCCACAACCTGGGGACCATCCTGCTGCTACTTCTCCCTTTAAGTAACAGGAGCCCTCTGGCTCCCTGTTACAGCTTGCCATTGCTTGGCTGATCAGCATGCTGTTTGGAGGTTTTGTTTACTTTGCAGCAGCAGCAGCTGAGTGTATACCCCACCTACCCATGCCCAAGCAATGAAGACTGTTCAGGGCCTCCCTCTATAGCTGTTTTTAAGACCTTGGTCTGGGGAGTGCTTGAAAGAAGCCACCAAGATGACCCTAGACCAGCTTCAGCAGGACACTTCTGAGTCCTGTACATGCCTACAGGCATGAGTGAGCTGGGCCTGCTCAAGCCCATCCTAGCCAGAGCAACCACCACCGTGATGCAGACAAGCCTGGAAAGGGAAACAGAACACAGCAGAATGTGTTCTTTACCAGACTCGTTTGAGGAAAGACCTTTGTTTCTATATCCTGTCACCTTTTGATCCACAGATCTGAATCATAAAATCAATGGACTGGAAGGGACTTGGAGATCATCAAGTCCAGTCCCCTGCCATAGGCAGGAGGTTAATGAGTTCAAACTAGCTCAACAAGGTGTTTATCGAGCCTGCTCTTGAACACCTCCAAGGATGGCGACCGCACCACCTCTGCTGGGAGTGTGTTCCAGGTTCTAGTTACCCTTACAGATAAGACGTTCATCCTTATGTCTAGTCTAACTCTTCCCTCTGTTAGTTTGTGTTCACCGGTCCTCATCCTCCCAAGGGGTGCCTTCCTGAAGAGTTGCACCTCCAGATCTTGGTGCTCCCCCCTAACACATTTGTAGGTGGCTGTCAAATCTCCTTGCAGCCTCCTCTTACCCAGACTGAACAAGCTCAGTTCCCAGAGTCTCTCTTCATATGGCCTATCCTCCAGGCCCCTGATCATGCGGGTTCCCCTTCCCTGCACTCTCTCAAGCTTATCCACATCCTTCTTGAAGTGCAGGGCCTAAAACTGGGTGCAGTACTCCAGCTGTGGCATAACCAATGCTAGGTAGAGAGGGAGAAGCACCTCCTTGGACCTGTTGGTAACACATGGGCTAATGCACTCCAGAGTCCTATTTGCCCTACTGGTGGCTTCATTGCACTGTTGGCTCATATTCGTCTTCTGGTCGATTGTGACCCCCCAGGTCCCATTCAGATACTGTGCCAGCCAATGGGATGCCGCCTATCCTATAGTTATGGTGAAGGTCCTTCATCCCTCCCAGATGGAGCCGGCACTTTTCCCTGTTGAACCTCATCTAATTCTGATCAACCCATAGAACCAGTCTGTCTAGGTCACCATGGATCTTGGCCCTACCCTCTGGTGTGCCTGCATCTCTCCACAGCTTGGTATCATCCGCAAACTTAATCATAGAGCATTCCACCCCTTCATCCAAGTCATTAATAAATATGTTAAAAAGCAGCCATCCACCAGATAAATTGCAGCCGTCCACATTGTAACCCTGTCTTGTGTGGGATCCCCTCAAAACTATTCAGTTTAATTGGGGTGTTTGTTATTGAGCTTGTAGTATGAACAAGTTACCACATTGTTGTTGGCAGGCAAGCAGGGTGTGACAGCAGTCTGCAGACATGCTACAGTTTTCCGCTTTGTGTAACAATACTGTTTGGGAAGTGTTCCTAACTTATCTCTGTGGTATCACCTCCCGAAAGACCATGATACTTCATGTACTAAAGAAAGCTAACTTCCAAGAGTTCCAAAAAAAACTTTTTCGAAGAGGGAAACTGCTTACATCACAAAAACCTGGAATTTGGTAAGAGTCACCATCAGTATAGGCGATCGATACAAGTTTGCTTTCAAGACAAAGTAAGAATAGATGTTCAGACATTTGTAGAACTGCGGGAGTGCCGCCTAGGGTGTCATGCTGTAGGGAATGTGCAGTGGCAACTAGATTCAAGAAAGCAGGGATAACTGTAAGTTGACTTCTGTTGCTACCAAGCTTCTGCTGTTTTCTACCGTCGTGAAGAACTTGGGGACCCTGTGTGAACTTGGGAGAGTTGTTCTTGCAGGATGCATCTGAGTTTCAGAAATTCTTCCCTTGATCAAATGTTCAAGCTGTTCTTTCTGAAAAGGAGATGAGCTGTGAAGGAACAGCACCTTAACCACACAGAACACTCATTTTATTAATAAATTGTTTTGCTGCGGTTAGCAAGCAGCTGCAGCTCTTAAATCAACACAGTGGTGTACTCTGACATGTTCTCCTTCCATCAGAAAGGTAAAGTGAAAGAAGCTGCCCAGCGCTACCAGTATGCCCTGAAAAAGTTCCCCAGAGAAGGGTTTGGAGAAGACCTGAAAACATTTCGTGAGCTGAAAGTGTCACTCCTCCTTAACCTCTCCCGATGTCGAAGGAAAATGAATGTAAGTTGCACGCGCCCTTTGAGGTCTTTCCAAGCAATCTGCTAGCTTCCTGCCTGCGCAAAATAAAGCGTGTCTTACCCGTAGTTCTGCTATGGCCTCTGAAATGTCTCCTCTTTGTAACCTGGTTGTCCTTCACAGAGCACTGACATTTATAATTCGGAAGAAATAAAGTCATGATTTAATATTCATTTCAAACAATTAAAAATTCATAGCTATATTTATAGCATTCTGAATTTTTTATTACTCCCTTCTGATGATGATATGAATTTGGGGTAGAGTTTTTGTAGTGCATTTTTCTACTTTCTAGGGCAGTGATGAGAGGAGGAGCTAGGAGGTGTGATCACTTGCATACGACTGAATTTAAAAGCAAGGAGCATATGTTTAGGGAGCTTTCACTTCCACAGGGCAGTGACTCATCCTGAGACTCCCCCACACATGCTCTGCCTCCTCCCAGAACTGTCATATCCCTGTCCTCCTCCCTGCACTAATTTAGCTGTGTCTAGGGATAATCTTCTGCAGTGTTTCTGTACCTCCAGAAGAGCTAAATGTCACATCCCCCTCCTTTCACATGAGAAATGAAAGTCTTCATTCAATCTCTGTGCTGGGCCAGGTTATAATGGGAGGGAGAGGACTTTATGATGCCTTCATTTCTTTCAGCTATGAAGGAGGCAAATAAAACCTTAATGCCAGCTCGCAAATAACATAACAGGCAGAAAACGCAACTAAAAGCTTAGCTTGTCTGTAAACTTTCTGCTAAGCTTGCACGTTAAGACAGATTTTTAGCTTAGCTTTAGCTGGGACTGCCTTTCTTGGCCCGAGATGGCAGGGGCATGTATTTGCTTTTACAGTTTTTTGCACCCATGACTTAGTCACAAAGTCATCTAACCCCTGGGCTGCATCACCAGTTCAGTGTCATAGATCAGGGGTGCTCAACCTCTGGCCTGCAGGCCAAAAGTGGCCAGTGGAGCCATTGCATCTGTCCTGTGGGGTTCCCCATGGGTCAGGAAATTTGGTGGTGGGGGAGCAATGGCCATTAATACAGCCACCCTCCCCCCTGCCAAATTCCCAAACCCTAAACCCTGCATGCCTGGTCGGAGCCAGGCTGTGCCCCCTTCCCCCTGTAGGGCTGGGTTGGGGCTGGGCCACAACCCCTTTTTTCCCCTCATGGGGCCAGGTCATGCCATCTTCCCTCCCCGCCCCGCCATGAGGCTGGACCATAATCTCTTCCCACCATGGGGTCAGGTCATGCCCCCTTACTACCCACATAGGGGAACACCAGGTCTCATCCTGCCCTGCGTTCCCTCCCTCTCTTCCCTCCCTCCCCACTCCTGCAGGGCTAAGTGAAGCTCCCATCCCCCACTGTGGGGCTGGGCTGCCCCCCACTCCCATTGGCTGGATGGTGGCTGCTGTGCTGGCTCTAGGCGCTGGATCAAAACAACCATCCAGCCCACAGTCAGATCAGGCACTGCCCTTCCAGCCTGCTAGGCAAAATGATTTGAGCACCATTGTCATAGACAACAGATGCATGACTGGAATTGCAGGGACTAATTAAAATCAGTCCCTGCACCTCATTGTTAATAGGTTTTTTTCCCCTCCATATATTTGGATGCAAAAATCTGTTTAATAATTTGACTCTGATATACTCAATACAAATTTCTATCAAACTGTAGAGTTAGTGGGATATGGCAAGTGTCTGCAAATAGAACTGAAGCTAAACCCACAAGGGGAAGCTTTCTGCAGAGACCTCCTGTTCTAGGGATTTTGTTTTCATGAGATTCAAATGCCTTGACTTGGAATGGCTAATTAATTGGTGTTGCATGGACCGCATACAGTGGAAATAAAAGCCAGACCCAAGGTCTGGGAACTGTGTATTAATTGTCAAATAATACACATATAGTTTTGTTTCATAGAAGTCCTTTGCTTTCCAAAGGCACTGTATGTAACACCAAGTAATTACTTTTCCAAGTAATACTTGCTAGAAACCACAACGCAGGGGCAGTAACAAAGCCCATTTCTACCACAGCAGAGCTTGCCTCACTTACTTTTTAATCACAATGTAACTTCATTTAGTGCTGTAGCCTAGAATGTTTTAGATTTTTAGCTCAAAGCCATGGCCCCGTGGGACAGACATTCAGTCTCCATACTAAAGCTAACCCACCAGGAAGCAGGCTTCTTATGAAGAGCTCAGATGAGCTCTGTGGTAAGGCTCAAACGCAGTAGGAAGACAAGGAGGAGGAATTGTTGTAGGGAAGAATTGCACAATGCCAGATGATGTTGCATTCCTAGCCATGGCACACAAGTGTTGTAACTGGCCTGTGTTCCATTTTATCCCCCTCTGTGCATTCCCAAACGAGCATCTTCTAAATAGTCTCCAAACGCAGGAGACAGGAGCAGAAAAGAGGGCAGTGAGATAAAATTCACTGTGGAGTGGAGTGTAGACGATATATTCCTGCACCTGGCTACACAGACAATATTCCTTTCCTTCAAAAGAAGTCTGGTGCAGTTCCCCTTTCAAGTGTTTGAGCATGTGCCAGAGAGGAAAAGGAAGTGGGAAAGGGTCTCCTAGTGGTTTCAACTATGGAAAAATACTCCATGAGGTTCCATTCCAGCTTCCATGAGACTGTTCACTGAAGGAGCTAGGCCACTTAAAAGGGGCTGCATGCACTTACCTGAGACCCAAGAGGTGTGAAAAGAGAGTAAATGTCTACTGTACAGTGTCTAACATTGTGAAAGCGCTTTGAATCTCCAGATACCATTATAGCTCTGGCTATCAGGGGTGTCTGATCCATGTTCAGAATACCAAGTGCCATCAGGTTTTCCAATTATACATGCAAAAACAATGTCCATATAATTTTGTTTTATTCCCAAGTTGTATATATATTTTATATCATTTTTTATATATATATATATATATTCAATTACTTATCTACACACCTATTGTAATGACAGGATTTTGGAATGGCGGAGGAATTTGCCACTAAAGCACTGGAGCTGAAACCGAAATCTTATGAAGCTTACTATGCAAGAGCAAGGGCCAAACGCAGCAGCAGGTGAGGAGAGAGAGAGAGAAAAGTGAGAGGGGCTATTCTTGGCAAGTCTGGGCACCTCGGTGTAGGCATTCACCATGCAAAACTAGATATGTAAGAACATATCACAAAGGGACATTCATTAGGGCAGCTGTTAAGAAACAAAACCCAAATCAACAACCTCCCTGATTTTGTAACCCAGATGGAGCACATTTTAATGTAAAAATGTGAGAGGCTCATCATAGTTAAGTGTTTGAATGTACTCAGGACCTGAAAATCAGGATTGGATGTTCTTCTACAAGATCTTGTTCAACGGCAGCTATTGGACTTGATGCAAGAATTAATTAATATAAGTCCTGCGGCCTGTGTGCTGCAGGAGGACAGAGAAAGTGATCACAGTGGTCCCTTCTGGCCTTAAAAATCAGAAAATCTGTCTGTCCCAAAGTGAGGCAGAAATCTATACCTAGTAGTGCAGTGACTGCAGATGAATGCCTGCCATCTTGCTTTCAGCAATAGCTCATGGTCAGAGCTGAGCCCTAGAATGACTTTTTTTAGAGAGCTGGAATGCTGGGCTCTCAGCACTTCAAATGGAGCCCTTAGGGATTCCCTTCTTAATCTCCCAGGACCCAGGGAGATGAGCTGAGATTGTCTTCAGAACCTATCAATGCCATTCCTGAACTGGTAAGAAGTCTTGCTTTAGAGTCACTTTCTTAGGGGCTGAGCACACTGCCATTGCGTAATGCTTTGTCTCTGCTCAGTCAGTGGATCAAGACACCAGCCACAAACTGAGCGTGTCCTGCATGACAGTACAGAAAACCACCAATAGCCAGAAGACCTTGAATGTCCACCTGCATAAGCATCGTAGCTAAATAGAAGGCACCACAGTTTAATCTCTCATCCTGCTAACAACATGCTTAACTGTGTATCTACCCTAGCTAGTACTGCATGGCAGTGAGCTTGAATCTTGATGTGGAAGTTAAACCCTGTGACCTTCTATTCCAGAAACAAGTCCTGCAATTTGAACCAGACTGACATTTTCTAGCTTCCCTTTAATGCTTGTGCTCTCCATTATTTACAACACTTCTATAGAAACTTAAAAATAGAAGACCTTTTCTAGTGGATTTTAGTTCTGTCCCCCATCCAAGCAGCATGATGCTCCTGCTTCTTGAATGAAACAGGCACTCCTTATGGCTTTTTTGGTTTACTTCCTTATTAGTGCACCAGCATAGGTCAGTTTAGATCTGGGGAGCATGTTGCTGTTCCTGTTCACACCTAGCTTTGAGCAGGTCTTGCCCCAGCATAGACAAGTGTTGCGGGGTATTGGGAGGGGTGGGGGGGTTCTTTATTTGTGGCAGGGCAGTGAACTGGAGCATTATAAAAAGTGATGTGTCAGATCTGGAGATGATTCACCACCAGATCACAATCATGTTACAATAGATAACATTTTTGTTCAAAAGCAAACAGTGTCCCTGTAAATGACAACCCACCTCCCCACGTACCCTACCCTGCTACTCCTCACAGGCTAGCCTTTCCAGTGTCAGTCACAAGTATCCTTCACAAGGGCCTTGCAGCCTTGCAAATGCTGGGACCTCCTCCTGCCGTGTTCCCTCTGTTCTGAAGACATGAGCCCAATCCAAAGCAAAAACTGAGAGGCAGCCATGTCTTATTCATTGGCCATGGAAATCCCTGGGTTGTAATGCCAGTCCCTGCCACTGCATGGCCTCAGAGCAAGTTAGAAGCAGCTAAATTTGCCATTGGGCTAATCTGAAATAGTTCTCACCTGCTCTTCTTGACACCAGTGGTGAGTTTCTTGGCTCTTGTGTAACACCTACACCTCAGTTTCCCCTTCCATAAAGTGGGGGCAGTGTACTGACAAAGCTCATGTGGGTGCTGTGAGGAGTAATTAATTAATTTTTTAAGCATTCTACCACCAAAAGGATATTACTAGAGTGGGTCCTGCTGTCCTGGTTATGTGTTCCCTCCTCCCCAGAATGGCTAACTGTGTTTTCTTCAATTGGGGTAAAGAAACCAAAGGGAGACACACATAAGGCAGAGCTTAAGGAACGCAGCCAGCTGTAGTGGTCCCAGGCATTTCCCTAAGAACAACAGACAAGCTGCTTGAGCTCTGTAGCATCCCAGAAATGCTTCAACCAAATCCAGAGTAACTTCATTCTCATTTCTGTCCCTCTGTCAAGCAGGCAGTTTTCAGCAGCCCTGGAGGACCTGAACGAGGCCATCAAGCTGTGTCCGAACAACCGTGAGATCCAGCGGCTGCTGATGAGAGTGGAGGAAGAGTGCAGACAGGTGCAGCAGCAACAGCAACAGCAACAACCACCCCCTGAGGAGCCAGAACCTGAAGCCCAGCATGAAGAACTGTATTCTGTGCAAGACATCTTTGAAGAGGAGTATCTTGAGCAGGATGTAGAAAATGTTTCCATTGGCTTACAGACAGAGTCAAGACCAAGCCAAGGGCTCCCCATCATCCAGAGCCCACCCGCGTCCCCTGCCCACCGGGATTCAGCCTATATTTCTGGCTCACCTCTTGGTTCTCATCAAGTCTTTGACTTCAGGTCTAATAGTTCTATGGGTTCACCAACAAGACAAGGGTACCAGTCCACTTCTCCTGCTCTGTCTCCAACACACCAGAACTCTCATTACAGACCTAGTCCACCACATACATCTCCTGCTCATCAGGGCTCTTCCTACCGCTTCAGCCCACCTCCTGTTGGGGGCCAGGGGAAACAGTATCAAAGTCCACCGCCTTCACCCCTCCGTAGAGGTCCCCAGTATCATGCCAGCCCTCCTGCAGAAAGTATGAGTGTCTATCGGTCACAGTCTGGCTCCCCAGTACGTTACCAGCAAGAACCTAGTGTTAGCCAACTCCCTGGTAGACCAAAGTCTCCACTGTCCAAAATGACGCAGAGGTCCTTCCAAATGCCCCAGCTTCCTGTCGCAGTCCCACAGCAAGGGCTCAGACTACAGCCGGCAAAGGCACAGATTGTCAGAAGCAACCAGCCAAGCTCTGCAGTGCATTCTAGTACTGTGATTCCAACTGGTGCTTATGGCCAAGTGGCCCATTCTATGGCCAGTAAATACCAGTCAACTCCAGGAGAAATGGGGGTTGGGCAAAGTAGGTTGGTCTACCAGGGTTCAATTGGTGGAATAGTAGGGGATAGCAGGCCAGTGCAACACGTTCAAGCCAGCCTTAGTGCAGGCGCAATCTGCCAGCATGGAGGACTGACTAAAGAAGATCTTCCACAGAGGCCTTCCTCAGCATATAGAGGTGGGATGAGATATAGTCAAACCCCTCAAATAGGACGCAGTCAGTCCGCTTCCTACTATCCAGTCTGTCACTCAAAGCTTGATCTGGAACGCTCCTCCCTTCCCTCCAGCCAGCTTGGTTCTCCAGAGGTTTCTCACCTAATAAGAAGGCCAATTACAGTCAACCCCAGTGAAATAAAGCCTCACCCACCAACTCCAAGACCACTGCTTCATTCTCAAAGTGTTGGTCTCAGATTCTCTCCTTCTAGCAATAGCATCTCATCCACTTCCAACCTGACTCCCAACTTCCGCCCTTCTGCTTCTATTCAGCAAATGGAGATCCCTTTAAAGCCAGCTTATGACAGATCATGCGATGAGCTTTCACCAGTCTCTCCAACTCAGGGGGGTTACCCCAGTGAGCCAGCCCGTTCCAGGACCACGCCATTCATGGGAATCATAGACAAAACAGCTCGGACTCAACAGTACCCACATCTCCATCAACAGAACCGGACCTGGGCTGTGTCATCAGTGGATACTGTTATTAGTCCTACATCTCCTGGAAACCTTCCCCAGCCAGAATCATTTAGCCCACCTTCTTCAATCAGCAACATTGCCTTTTATAACAAAACCAACAATGCACAGAATGGCCATTTGTTAGAGGAAGACTATTACAGCCCCCATGGGATGCTGGCCAATGGGTCCCGAGGAGACCTTTTAGAGAGAGTCAGTCAAGCCTCCTCGTATCCAGATGTTAAGGTGGCTAGGACACTGCCTGTTGCACAGGCCTACCAGGACAACCTGTACAGGCAGCTTTCCAGGGACTCTAGACAAGGGCAGACATCCCCTATCAAACCAAAGAGACCGTTTGTGGAGTCTAACGTGTAAATGACACTTGTTGGAGTAAGACCCTTATGTTTTCAGCACACACTTCTGGGCTTGATTTTCATGCATATTAGTATTCTTCTTATTATTTTTTAATTTCTATTTGATAGTTTCATGACCAAGTTTCTCCTGTAATTGCTATGTGGTGATCAGCCAGCCATGCACGTGCTCAAAGCCCTTTGTTATCCAGCTGACTGTGAAGCCAACATCAAACAAGCCAGTATTGTTTGCCCAACTGAAACTGAGTTCCCTCACAGTTTTCAGCTGTCAATCAGGATATTTTAGTATATGGTGTAGGTTAATCCCAATATAGCCCCTACACAGTGGGAGGTAACCAGCTCTTTTCAAGAGACAATCATGTTCAATTCAAATTGGTCTCTTTTGTCTGCTTAATAAGATCTTGTGAAATTAGAAAATTTCTAGTGGGAACTGGCCTAGACTTGTGGCAGCCTTTACAGAGTGCATTGTCCGGCGTTCCCCTAGACAACCAGTACGTTCCTCTTCCCAGTTGTCTCCTTGCTAATTACAAAGAGCTAATTACCTGCACAGAGTGGGGCTTGATTTGTTTTAATACTAAGTAGCTATGCATAATAACCATCCTGCTTTATCTGGTTTATAGAATTTTAATCTGAATTATATTTGTTTGTTTTAATGATGCAATCTGCCAGCATGGGTGGGAACCACAACATGCTGCGCAACTTTGACAGTTGTGTCCCAAATGCCACAGCACTGATTCACTCTGAGGCATTTTAAAAATGTGTTGAGAAGAAATTGAACTTGGCCCCTTTTATGCATCTTAATCAGCCCAGGTAATTGGCTCAACCCATCTTGTGCATTTTATAAGCTGAGATTACCACAACCTTTCCTTCACACTGTTAGCAGATGACTGCACTTCACATATGCACCAACCCCATGTTTTCACCAGGACAATTTAAGAATTGGGTTTAGTTTGGTTTGGCTCAAAAGAAAAATGGGATGGGGGAAAAAGCTTAATTAAGGAAGGAAATTTTAAGTCTTTCTTTGCCCGTGATGCCCAAAGCGACATGATGGTTCCCAAGAGAGAAAGTGGCCAAGGAGTCACATCAGTGAAGTCCTTCTGAAAACACAGCCTTGCCATGCCATTTCCTTTCTGTTTGCACCTGCTCTTTGGAATCTGTGTGCTGTAGTGAGGGGCTGCACTCCTCAAAGGGAAGAAGGAATAAAAATGGGTGTTTTCCTAGAGCTGCCAGATTTGTTCCTGGAATTTTGCAAAGCAGTTGCTGTGATCCATACCTGTAAATGCTAGAGGCAATGTTTTGCTCTTTAAGGACCTGTAGTTAAAAGAGAGATATTTATAATTAATTTATGTGATCTATTTCAGGAAATTTGTTTTGGGGTATATCTTTTTTTTCTTTTCTTTAATTAGATGCAGCTAGTGTTGAGGCAGTGTGAAAAAGCAGGGGACATTTCCAAAACCCGGTTTACAGAGCTTTCCAAGTAGTCTCTGAAGTTTTGTTTGCATAGAGGAGACTTTCTGAGCCTGTTCTACGTTTCTTGTTAGTTGCATTTTATAATCCACCTTTTCAGTGACTAAGAGCAAACAGCCAGGTGAGTGGAAAAGAAGTTTGTTACTGTAACTTGTTTTAAAGCAAAATAGTGCCTGCTACCTAACACTGAAGCTAGTTCATGTCAACTCTTAAAAACAGAATGGGAAGTGACTCCGAGGGAGAGAAGTTAAATGTGTTTCTGTTTCCAAAGGGCTATGTGAACCTGTCATTGAAGGAAGGACTCATTGAACCAAAATAAGGGCCAATCCAACATTAGAGTCAATTGGCACGTCTATATTGTGATTTCTGTGCAGCTGCCCTGATTTATGCCAGGCAGGGATCTGGCCCTGAATCACTCAGCAAACTCTGGCTCTGATTAGCTTTTTTGTTTGCGTGAAGCTGTGAAGCGGATCAGCACAGTTTGTTGTAATTTGCTTACTTATTTTGCTTAGACCAAATGGAGACACATAGGCCTCAGGACAGGTCAGACTCGTGTCCCACAGACAGACTGAAAGTACTCTTGGTTTTTTTGCCTCTGCGTTGTTTGGGGATTATTAAGTTTCTTTAATTCAAGATATTTATGGGTCTATTTTCTATTTGTCCAAGCCAGTATTTGTATTGGGGTTTGGGTTTTTTTTCTTTCCCAAGGGGGTATGAAGGTACAACACAATTCTTACCCTTTGCTTTATTACAGGGATCTGTAAAGCAGGTTATAAAACTGGGAGCCTCCCCAGATACTTATGCCTCCTTCCCAGCCTGTTTGTATGAGGCCATGAGGAAATAGGAATGTGCATGCACTATTCCTCTTTGAAAGGGATGTTGACTTTTTTGTTCCTCTCTTTTTTAAGAAGTGTGCTCTGCCTTATAAGGAATAACTGATTATTTTAATCTGCATACCGTGCACCTCGTTAGCTAGAACTTGTATATTAATGGGTTTTTTTGAATAGCGTCATGTTTTTGTTCCAGGCCTTCTTTCCCTCAGCTTTCCTGAGCAAATGAGTGGCTTTCTATCTTTGGTAGTTTCTTTTGAAAGGACAAAGTAACCAAATCCAGCCCATTCCCTTTTTTTATTACCGTAAACAAGATGTGCTACTGCCATAAGCCAGTCATCTCCAATTTTCTTGTTATCAGAGAATCCAAATGGAATGATCCTTGTTGAAGAGAATGCCATTGTAATAACTCTGACTGTGCTTTGCTTCGCTATTCACTGCCGTGTGATTCCAGTACTGTACTTTAGAAATGTCCCCTAAGAAGCACTTACATGTACAACTTTGGGTTTATGAAGATGTAAGGGAAAACAAAACAAAACAAAAAACAGCTCACACTTTAACACAAATACAAAAATGAAACAAGGCTTAAATACTGCAGTGTGCAGGGTTTTTTCACAACACCATGTGTTACATTTTCACAGAATTCTTGCACTAATGGTTTACCATCTGTTCTTTCTGTAAATGGGTGCACTTTACTGTTTGAATTTGTTACTATGATAAATACTGGATATTTAAGCGTGAGTAGTGTCTTCATTAGAAAATAGCAGAACAGCTCTTGTCTCTTAGTGTATTTTTCAAAAAAAAAAGAAAAAAGAAAAGAAATGAAGCAATGAATCATAACATTTATAGCACAAGAACTCACAGTTGTATATAAGCATCAAAAGATTGAGTAATTTTTAAATACAAAAATATTTACCGTGATTTTTTTAAAGCGCTTCCCCAGCAATTTTCTTAGGGACAGCTGAAACATAATTGTTGCTTTAGTAACTGGATCAGTAAGGAACATACTTCTCACTTGAAAATCAAATATTGTGTGTCATTCGAAGTCCTGATTGGAATTTGGCATGGGCAAAATGGAGATTATTTTGTATTTTCTGTTGTATATGGTCCTGATTGTAAAGTACACTATCCAACCACAACTCAGTAGAGCACAAGACTGTAATTTTGCTTACTGTCCCTTCACCCCTTCATCTTAGCTGCAAATCTCATGAACTTGTCCACTCAGGAAAGTGTAGTAGGACAGTGTGCAGTAGCCCATCTGGCAGTCAGATTTGCCAGGTACAGTGTTGAGTGATTCAGAGATACTGTACCTTTTTCCTGTTGGAGTAATTGAGACTACCAGCATCATCCCCAGTCAGCACCCTAGCTGGAGTCAGGTAGTTTGAGAATCCCCACACTGCTAGCTTGTAGGTGCACCAAATAAAACAGCTTCTTGATACCTTAAGACCGTAGGAATTTGTTCCTTGGAATGTATTCTGTTGGCTATGCCTAAGCAAATGCTCGTGTTTGACCAAACCAGCCACTAGATGGCTCTCGGACTCTGCAAAAAGTTGCTCTGAGAGCCTTTCTATTGTAGTGATGAGTCACTATAGAGCTGAAGTCCCAGTTTTGGGAATTGGGTGCTTGTCAAGTTCCTGTTGAGCACATTTCCCAGATGTTGGTTTTTTTTTTGCTTTGCAGGCTGGAAAGGCCTCAGGAGAGAGGGCAGTAGCTATATGTGTCTGTCTCTCCAAATCCTTAGCTGCTGGTTTCAGGGTGGCATCAAAGGGCTTGAGAGCCAGTTGTCAGCTCATCTAGGTGCTTAGGAGATGGAAGTGTTCTATAGAGCTGGGGGCAAGGGAGCAGAGAGCTTGGCAACCTGTTTCCTTTTGTTGCTGGATTCAAATCAATGCTCTTGTGTAGGCGATGAAGGCTGTGCCAGCTACTGACTGACCAAGGCCTTTGGAATCAAGCTCACGGTAAGTTCCGATGGTTTAGTTTGAAGAGCAGATTTTTCCCCCTTTAAAATGGCTGTAAAGCAACTTGCTTGGCTGGTGGAAATGCTTTTTTTGTACATATGATGCATACCTAAGCCATAGTTTGGATTAGGTCCTTGCCAGGATGGCTGCTAAATTCCCAGTAATTCAGTTCCCTAGTGCAAAGACTATTGTCAATTCAGGGTTACCCAGAAGAAGTCTAGCTAAAACCGAAGTGCCAGCTATGCCTTATGTAGAGAACAAAGCAAGCCTGAGTGCCTGCTAGTTTTTCACCTTAAACGCTGAGGTAGGTCCTTGCTGATCTGTCACAAGCTATTTGGTTGTTGCATCTTTTTTTTTTCTTTTGAGAGTTCCAGACAATTCATCTACCAAGATTAATGGTATTTAAACAAGGGCTTAGGGAAAGAGCTACTGTACCTCCTGTGACATGTCACAGAGACCTCCAGAGTTAAATGCCTTTACTCAGTAATGGAAAGTTTGGTGGGGATGCATTTGGACACAAGCACAATGGCAAAGGTTGATCTGCTTTTTCAGGGTTACTTGAACAATTGCTGGACTTTCATTCAATCAAACTTTTTCTAATACAAACCACAAAGGGCTCAATAATTTAGCAAGATTCGTTTGTGTCCAACTCCTGACAACAGCTGGATTGCACTGGAACCTTTCCTGATACACAACAGATCCCCATGAGAAAACAAAGCAAACGCAATTGTCACCATTAAAGTGAATGGAGCCAAATAAATACTCAGTATCCTTCCCTCCTAATTTTCTAGCAACCACTTAACTGCTGTCATGCTACTTAGCAGGAAGCGGTCAGTTCCAGTCTGACATTTCTGCATCCTGGTTCCTGTAGTCATTAAAATGGAGGGCTACTGTGAAAAGGGGCTTGTCACTGGTCTTTCGTACATATGGATCAGTCCAAAGGAAGGAGAGTACTAGGCCTGTCCTCCAATAACTGCTAACACATGGAGTCTTGTTTCTGGTGGGTGGGAAAGCCTCAGGCTGGTAAAGTTAGATCACTTTAGCTGCAGTCTGCCTTGCTCTGCACTGATATAACAGACACCATTAGTAATGTTTAGAGATAAACTAACAGCAACACTGTGTGCATAGGTTCATTTTGTCAAGATACCAGTAACGTAGAGACTCCAGCGTGGACTCTTCCAGCAGCAAAGGTGTCATTTCTGTCTCTCATTTTCTTTTCCACAGTATTTACAGCATTTCGTCTCTGTTCTGTCTTCACTTCCGAGAAGATCTGACTTAGTACAAATATGTATAGTCTATACACTTTGGTGATTTGTACTATTTGCCATCCTTCAAGACACTTGCTGGGAAGATCTTTAAGACACTTAATTTTCCTTTAGCTTTTCTATAATTCTGATGTAAAGGACTTTCTCTGTACAGTATATTATTCAATGCATGTTCTGTTCTCTCTACTGATATATTGAACACCACACAGTTGTGATATTGTGCAGTGGGCAAGGCGACCCTGCACTCAGCTGAGGCCCTCAGCCTCTCATGTATAAGGAAAGAAAAACTATTTTTTCCTTTGCTGTATTTGCTTGAGCAGAGTTTTCTTGTCTGTACATGTGAGCTGTGAGATAGATGTGAAAAGTTCAAATGAATGCATTTCCCCAATGTATACAGATTGTAATCTGTACAATGAACTGTATGTATGAAAAAAAATGTACTTATTTATAAATGGTTAACACTTGGAAACAGAGTATGCTTACTATTTTCCTCATGTTGCAGCCTGAAATTAAGGAGCGTGCATTGGTTTCATGGCGCAGCTGTACAGGGATTAAAATAAACTGTTAGCAGGCTGGTGCATACAAGTGACTAGATGTGCTGTATTAGTGAATGGGGCAAACTGGGAGCAGAAGAATAGAGCCAGAGGCTGCTTCAACAGTGAGTTTTCCACTACCCCAGATGGCACCTAGTAAAGGTGGTTTTGCTCCATCAGAGCGGCTCCCCTGAGGAACGCAGGCCACCACCAACATACTGTATCCATTCTCCTGCTCCTGCAGAGAGAAGGCCCCAGCCAGCATGGTGCATCGTGGATAAATAACCCAATACTGACACCAGAGGGAATGTTCCCCAGTCAGAATGGGGATTCTTGTCTAATATTGGCTTCCAAGTGGTCTTGTAATGGGCTGCACTGAAATGCCACAGTGCTTGTCAGCCTACTTTGTGATCCTAAGCCAAGGATTGGCAACATTTTTGAGCAGAGTGCCAAAAACAGCTGCAACCTTGACTTGTAAGATGTTGGCATGCCAGGGGCAGACAACAGGGGACCTGTGAGGGACCTGATCCTTGTTGTGGCAGTGCAGTCCCTGTCCCTGCCCCTTCCCCAAGGTGCACATGCCAAGCAAAATGCCTCCATGCCAGGGGTTGCCTACCCCTGTTCTAGGCAGTGGAGCTAAAAGTAGGATTTTTACTTTGATGCTGTATTTACATGCACCCAGCATTGCATCCGA